TTTTTTTTTTGCCTTTTTGAAACCACTACCGTTACATGGTTAGTATATGTGGATCACACCCTCCAAACTTAGGTGAATTTATAGTCTCGTGGGAGAGTCTACCAGCTAACCTCCCATAGATGATGTTTAAACTACCAAAAACCATATTGTCCCATCAAAGCTTTATGAAGTAGCTCCTCCACCCAGGAGGTCGCTCATTCATTATGAGAGCATAGCAACCTACATAACTTTAACAAAAGAAAAATAGTTCATCCTAGACATCAAATTGGTAATTTAGTAGATCCACAATACCAAAATGGGACGAACTACCTCCCCCAAAATTAGAGCCGTGAGTAACTAGAGAACCGTTTGAAACTTTGAGGCACCTGAGATACTCAGATTTAGAATGCAATGAGAGGGCACAAGAAGGTTACTTATTGAGTATTTTTATACTCACCACTTTTTTTTTTTTTTCAAGTGTTCGTATGTTGTCAATCGAAACAGAGGAGCGTTCCAGAACTATGCGATTATAGAGGGGTCACCCAGGAGCGCCAATCCGTTTTTATATTTTGAGTAATTTTGTAATTCAATTTGTAACTATATCCCAATCTATTTTTCTCTGTAATAAAAAGTAACAGCATCATCTTGTAATTGAATTTTGTTTTATTATTATTATTATTATTAAGGTGTTGTTTGCTTTATTTTCACAGAGTATGATTTTTTTTATAACTATTTAAATTTTTTTTTTTTGTTAGATTCTCGTGAATCATAGTTGCTTTAGTTAGACCCATACCTTGCTAATGGGCTACAACCCAAATATTTCCTTCTCAAATAAATGCCTTTACCTAGCACATGATTTGAAGCTTCTAAAATGGACTCAATGGTCAAACCCTCAAGATTTGAAGCTTCATAGGAAGTCACATTAGTTATTGATATCAATTTGTTTTAGTAAATTAAATTGTTTAATCAAAACATGAAACGACACCAATTTTATTCATTTGTTTGGAAGAAAATGGGCTATACATAAGTATTACATAAACATTGAACCTTCCATAAGTTAGCCCATTCAAAATTACATGAATTAAATTAAAAATAGAATTTTTATCTTCTTTGAAACCATCATTTATACAATACAAAGTCAATGAACTTTGCATAAAAACTGAGCCTTTATGAATAAAGTTATATATAACTTTATATATTATGGTTTTTTATGTTGATAATATCAAATTCAACATACTCGACGTGTTTATTTTATTCTTATTGATCATGTTGGTTTATGGTGAGGTCACTCTCATGCCCATTCGAACCCATCATGGTGATACCCACAAACAAATTCATTGTTTTTCTACTCTCCTTTCGTTTTTACAACTTTTCTTTTTTTTTTCCGCCCAAAAAGAAATAAATCATCATTACTCCATTCACTATTAGTTTCTAAGTCAAAATAAGTATCAAATCTCTCCTAATCTACCCACTATCCAAAATAAAACATCATAAATGACCCTTCAATATCACATAGTACCAATGAGAGGTACTATATATAATATATAATATAGGACACTAGTGGTCCTTTCTCAAAAATAATTTTTACGTTGGATATAGTCGACGATTGAAATATACCAAAACAAATAAATGAAGTTGAAACAACAACGTGAAGGGAGAGTTTCTTAACTATATTTTTCAATTCTCTTTTGTGAATTAAGCGTCCATCTCGAGAAAATACTAATAGATTTTCTAAACTTTCTCTTTAGGTTAGCAACTATTGACAATTTTTCTAAACAAAAGACTAATAATTTTTCAAAACTTACTCAACTTAATAACTTCGGGCAATTATTGGTCACATTCTCCTATATAAAATTGACTATGCTCAAGATTCTTCATTTAGAGCAACTCTCACATGTTTGTAAATTTAACCCTTGTTAAGGTCTTGGTGAGAATGTTCACATATTGCTCTCTAGTGTCAACTTTGTTCGGTCCTTGATCAACTTTATCTTCATCAAAAGAAATTTTAATTTGCAACATACAATTTCTTTTGCTCGTATCTTTTGTGCAGAAAATTCATTATCAAGCTTACATGTAACAACTTCTTGTAATGTACTCATATGTTTTCCAACCTTCTTGTTAGGCTTGTCTCTACGAGCTTCTTTGGTTGAGATGATAAGTTTGAAGTCCCATTTTTCTTATGCCCTTCTCGCCTTCCTCTAAGCCTCCTTTGTTGAGATAATAAGTCTGATGAAATTCACACATTTGTAGTTTGCACTTTTTTATTGAAGTAGCCTCTAGTTTCTTCTTAACTCTGTTCTTCCGTACTTTTTTTTTTTCCAACTAATTCCATTCTGCTACCTTCTTCTTTCATTTGACAAAAGTTAATAATATTGCTCTTCAAGCTCATGATATAATATACCTTGGTCAATAGACATTGATAGTCGTTCTTACTCGGGAACAAGATGGATCCTTTGTCTTGGATAGATACAGTATTGATATGTTACAAAGTTTCACATTTTCATTAAATTTCTCATCAAATTTCTTGAATTTTGCTCGATCTCCAATCATGTGGTTGTTCGCTCCGTTGTCTAGGTGCAACATGTTGGTTTCCATTTGGTCTTCTCCATCTACGAGGAGGTTCGCGATAACCTTCTCTTCATTGAGCATCAACGAGTGGGGTATTTTCTTGACCGACATCAATGTAGGCTTTTTATAATCTATGAATGTTAGGTTTGCTTCTCATCCTTTTCCTTGTTGCGGTACTCTACCACATAATTCCCATATTTTCCACAAGCATAACACTGGTTCATGTTCTTATCCTTCAAAGGGTTGGCATTGTCACGGGTTTCTAAGGTATTGTCACGATCTTCTTTGTCCCGACTCGGTGGCCATAACCATGACTTTTATTTTCCTTGTTGTGGCTGTCATGTCCATTTGTACATGCGAGCCACTTATGGTGTGTGAGTAAGAGATGTTTCTCATTCTCTCTATCATCGTAGCCACAAAGCCTCTTTTCATGGACCTTAAGAAGACCAACCGCCTCAACCGACATGTTCTTGAGGTCACTGAATTACTTGATGGAGGTAACAATCTGCATGAATCTCAGGGGAACAGCTCGAAGGAACTTGTTGACGACAAAGATCTCCTCCACCTTTTCGCCTAACGAACAGATACTGGTGACGATTGTCTTCAACTTCATGACAAAGTCGTCTATTGACTCACCATCCTTCATACGGATAGCCTCGAACTCACTCTTCAAGGTTTGTACTTTGCTTCCTCGACTTGTTCCACACTCACATGCATTGTTTGCAGCGTCTCTCATGTTTGCTTTGCCGAGTCCTTCTTTGGCAATATGAGAAGGACATCCTCTTGGACTATTTTATAGATGACAGTATGAGTCATCCAATCCTTTCACTCTTCCATGTCGTCATGCTGCTTAATGGTCTCCCACACACCTTGTGCCTATAAGTTAACACGTATATTTATCGACCATGCTGCATAGTTATCTTCGTGAGTCGGGGTACTAGAGCATTACACTCCCCTCATTTTTTACTTTTTATCATCGTCATATCTTCTCCGCCGAATTTGTACAGTGAAGGGTTTGTTCAGTATCCTAACTTTGATACCAAATGTCGGATATAACTCACAATCAAATGTATCGAAACAAATAAATGAAGTAGACAGAACAATTTGAAAGGAAAATTTCTTAGAATAGAAAATGTTAAGCATTATGTTTTTCAATTCTTTTTGTTGTTGTGAATAATACATACCTCTAAAGACTATTTACATGGGAGAAAGCACTAATAAATTTCTTGAACTTTCTCAACCGGTCAGCAACTACTAATAATTTTCCTAAACTTATTCAGGTTAATAATTACTAACAATTATTCTTTTAAGTTAATAACATTTTTTTTTTAAGTTGAGCTTATTAACTCACATATGTAACCCTAAGAAGTAAAAACAATTTCATTATTATAAAAACAACAATTTCATTATTATAAAAACATCCTTGTAAAAACAAAAAGAAAAAAATATCTTCTTGTAATAACCCATGTCGTATATTGGAAATCTGGATTCTACACCTGATGACTCGAGTATTCTCTTACAACATGGTCACGTTACTTACTCTTTGTTTTTTAGTGAAGACTATCTCCATAGACTAACATAAATAATTTTAGGATACTTTATCCTTACTCACATGAGTCATAGAAAATTTTTCAAGAAGTTATCCAATATAAAATTTCACAAAGCAAAGCACATTGAATTGTGTAGTTCCTATAATTGAGCCATTGAAAAAAAAATGTACATTGTTGGTATTGGTAATAACTTCCGATCCTTTTAAGCATTTTTTAATCATCCTATTTTTAGGATCACTCTCATCTAGATTTATCTAAATTCATTCATGTTCCCCTTATTTACTCAGGTCTCATACTCCTAAGTACAATTATTTAAACACACATATAGTATTTGAAAAAAAGTAAAGTATTAACATTATAATGTAGGATGCAAATAGTTTTTAGTTCCCCCATCAATTTCATTTGGTATGAAAACCATACATGATGTGAATGAACTTACATTAATTCATTCCCAAATTTATATTAATATATGAAAATTAATTAAAATGTTTTTAATTTAGACATTAAAAGTTATTCTTAGTCGAAAACCGTATGAAATGTTAAAATTACTTTTCTAATTGGCTACTTATCAACATCTAAATCAATGTAGTTATGACATTAATTTTTATTTTTAAATAAAGAGTAGAATCTAATTATAATTTCTAGGAGCATACACCCAACCCTAGAACCCATAAACCTAACCCGACCCAACCCAAATTATAAAGATTGGGTTGGGTTGGATTGGTTCTCGAGTTTGGGTTGGGTTAGTTTTTTTGAACCCGATCCGATTCGGATTGGGTTCTGGTTTCAAAAGAAATTGATGGGGTCAACCAGACCCAACC